TCCTCCTACCAGTCTGGATGAATGTTTCTTCTTAACTCCACAGTTGTTGGACTTCCATACAGTTCAATTTTCTGGCAGTTCTGTTTTTTTGTGTGTTTTTAAATTTGTTGTTGTCCTTCTTTTGGTTGTGCAAGGAAGCAAAATGCATCTGCCTACACCTCCATCATGGCTGGAAGTCTCTACATTACTTTTTAAAAACTAAAAATAAATTTTAAATGAACCTAAATTCTACAAAGGATTTTAACTAAAAATATGAAATAAATTGTTCTAGTTTACAGTGATAGACAGTGGGGCAGTCACACTCCATCACAGGCTTTGCACACTTGGCTATTGTAAATTGTGCTGCTATGAACATTGGGTTGCATAGGTTCTTTTGACTTGGTGTTTCGGGATTCCTAGGGTATGGTCCCAGTAGTACAATTGCTGAGGAAAAATGCAGATCCATTTTTAGTTCTCTGAAGAAATCCCATACTGTTTTCTGTGGCTACACCAGTGGCTATACCAGTCTGCATTCCCAACAGTGTACCAGGGTTCCCTTTTCTCCACAACCTCACCAATACTTGTTGTTTCTTGATTTGGTTATGATGACCATTCTGACCAGTGTGAAATGGTATCTCATTGTGGTTTTAATTTGCACCTCTCTGATGGCTAGTGATGCTGAACATCCTTTCATATATCTCTGGGCCCTCTGGATGTCCTCCTTGGAGAAATGTCTGTTCAGGTCCTTTGCCCATTTATTAATTGGATTGTTTGTCTTCTTGGAGTGGAGTCATGTGAGTTCTTTATACATTTTGGAGATCAAACCCTTTTCTGAGGTATCATTTTCAAATTTATTTTCCCATACAGTTGGTTCCCTTTTCATGTTGCTGATGTTTTCTTTAGCCATGCAGAAGCTTTTTATTTTGATGAAGTCCCATTTGTTTATTCTTTCCTTTATGTCCCTTGCTCTAGGAGATATGTCTGCAAAATATTGCTGCATGGAATATCTGATATTTTCCTCCCTATGTTCTTCTCTAGGACTTTTATGGTGTCATGACTTATAGTTAAGTCTTTTATCCATCTTGAGTTTATTTTTGTATCTGTTGTAAGTTGGTGGTTGGGTTTCACTTTTTTTGCATGTAGCTGTACAAATCTCTCAACACCATTTGTTGAAGAGGTTATTTTTACTCCATTTTATGCTTCTGCCCTCTTTGTCAAATATTAATTGACCATAGAGACTTGGGTTTATTTCTGGACTCTCTATTCTGTTCTATTGATCTATATGTCTGTTCTTATGTGAGTACAAGACAGTTTGATTACAGTGGTCTTATAATACAGTTCGATATCAGGTATTGTAATCCCTCTTACTTTGTTTGTCTTTCTCAAAATTGGTTCAGCTATTCAGGGTCATTAGTAGTTCCATATATATTTTTCAAAATATGTTCTATATCTGTGAAATGTCTCATTGGTATTTTAATAGGGATTGCTTTGAGTCTATAAATTGCTTTGGGTAGTATGGACATTTTCATGATATTAATTCTTCCAATCCATGAATACTGTACATGCTTTCATTTATTTGTATCTTCCTTAATTTCTTTCTTCAATGTTGTGTAGTTTTCTGAGTATAGGTTTTTTACCTCCCTGGTTAGGTTTATTCCTTGGTACTTTATTTTTCTTATTGCTATATAAAATGGGAATTTTTTCTAATTTCTGTTTCTGATATTTCATTGTTGGTGTACAAAAATGCCTTTGATTTCCAAATATTGACCTTGTATCCTGCTGTTTTGCCAAATTCACTTACTAGATCAAGTAATTTTTCGGTGGAGTCTATAGGATTTTTTGTGTACACTATTATGTCATCTGTAAACAATGACAGTTTTGCTTCCTACTTTCCAATCTGGATATATTTTATTTCTTTTTCTTGTCTGATTGCTGTGGCTAAAACTTCCAGTACTATGTTGAATAGAAATGGTGAAAGTGGACATCTTTGTCTTGTTCCTGATCTTAGAGGGAATGCTTTTAGTTTTTGCCCATTGAGTATGATGTTGGCTGCAGGTCTCTCATATATGGCCTTTATTATGTTGAGGAATGCTCCCTCTATTCCCACTTTGCTGAGTGTTTTTATCATAAATGGGTGCTGTATCTTATCAAATGCTTTTTTTGCATCTATTCATATGACCATGTGATTTTTGTCTTTCCTTTTGTTTATGTGATGTATTACATTTGTGGATTTGCTAATATTGTACCATCCTTGCATCCCTGGGATGATTCCCACTTGATCATGGTGCATAATCTTTTTGATGTATTGCTGGATGTGGTTTGCCAATACTTTGTTGAGGATTTTAGTGTCTTTGTTCATCAGCAATATTGGCCTGTAGTTTTCTTTCTTTGTCTAGTTTGGGACAAAGAAAGAGGATTAGGAATTTCTGGCTTCATAAAAAGAGTTTGGGAGTCTTCTCCTTTTTGGATTTTTTTTTTTGAATAGTCTGGAAGAATAGGGCTTAGCTCTTCCTTAAGTATTTTATAAAATTCCCCAGTCAGGTCCAGGGATTTTGTATTCTGGGAGTTTTTTGATTACTGCTTCAATTTCATCAGTTGTTGTTGATCTGTTTAGGCTTTCTGCTCCTTCTTCATCAGTTTTGGAAGATTATATTCTTGTAGAAATTTGTCCATTTCACCTAGATTTTCAAATTTCTTAGCATATAATTCTTCATAGTAATTTCTTACAATCCTTTGTATTTCTGTGGTATCAGTTGTAATCTCTCCTCTTTCATTTCTTATTGTGTTTATTTGGGTCCTCTCTTTTTTTCTTGATGAACCTGCTTAAAGGCTTGTCGATTTTGTTTATCTTTTCAGAGAACCAGGTCTTGGATTTATTGATCCTTAGAATTGTGCTTTTAGTCTCTATGTTGTTTAATTCTACTCTGACTTTAGTTATTTCCTTCCTTCTACTTGCTCTGGACTGTCTTTGTTGTTGATCTTCAAGTCCTAGTAGGCAACCTAACCCTATGCCTATAGGGTTAGGTTGTTTATTTGAAATGTTTCTATCTTTTTTAGGTAGGCCTGTATCACTATGAACTTCCCTCTCAGGACTGCCTTTACTGTGTCCCATAAGTTTTGAACTGTTGTGAGTTTATTTTCATTTGTTTCCAGAAACCTTTTTATTTCTTCCCTAATTTCATTCTTGACCCATTCATTATTTAATAGCATGCTATTCAATCTCCATGATTTTGAGTGTTTGGGGGGTTTTTTTCCCCTTGGGGTTGGTTTCTAGTTTCAGTCCCTTGTGGTCAGAGAAAATGCTTGATATTATTTCGATTTTCTTGAATTTGTTGAGGTTTGTTTTGTGTCCTATCATGTGGTCTATCTTTGAAAATGTTCCATGTGCATTTGAAAAGAATTTGTATTTAGCTTCTTTGGGATGAAAGGCTATATATATATATATATATATATATATATATATATACATATATATATATCCCATTTCATCTAGGGCATTGTTCAATGCCACAATATCTTTGTTGCTATTTTGTTTGGAAGGTCTATTCATTTTTTACAGTGGAGTGTTAAAATCCCCTACTATAATTGTGTTGCTGTAAATATCTTTCTTGAAGTCCTCCAAGATTTTCTTTATGTATTTGGGTGCTCCTATGTTGGGTACATATATATTTACAATGTTTATGTCTTCTTGGTGGATTCTTCTCTTGAATATTATGAAGTGACCTTTTGGGTCTCTCTTTATGGCCCTCTTTTTGAAGTCTATTTTGTCTGATATGAATATTGCTACCCTGGCTTTTTTTCCCCTGTATGTTTTTTTGGAAAATTTGTTTCCAGCCCTTCACTTTCAGTCTATGAAGATCTTTTGTTCCGAGGTGGATCTCTTGTAGGCAGCATATGTGTAGGTTGTGTTTTCTTATCCATTCATCTACTCTATGTCTTTTGATTGGAGCATTTAATCCATTTACATTTAAAGTTATTATTGATAGGTTATTGATTATTCATTGCCATTTTACTGCCTTTGTACCTTTATCCCTCTCTCTTTCATTCTTTTTCTTTCTTTTTCTTAAAGCAGTCCCTTTATCATATCTTACAGAACTGGTTTGGTGGAGGTGTATTCTTTTAGCCTTCTTTTGTCTGGGAAACTCCTTATTTTGCCTTTCATTTTAATTGAGAGCCTTGCTAGATAGAGTAGCCTTGGTTGCAGGTCTTTGTTTTGCATTACTTGGAATATTTCTTGCCATTGCCTTCTGGCTTGTAGCAATTCCATTGAGAAGTCAGATGCTAGCCTTATCTGGGCTCCCTTGTTTTTTTATTTCCTTTTTCTCCCGTGCTACCTTTAAGATTCTCTTTTTCTCTTGGAATTTTGCCATTATAATTATCATGTGTCTTGCTGTGGACCTCCTTGGGTTCTTCTTGATTGGGACCCTCTCTGCCTCCTGGATTTGTGTGACTTTTTCTCTCATCAAATTAGGGAAGATTTCCATCATTGTTCTACTTGTTCAAGCAGGTTTTCTATCCCTTGCTCTTCTTCTTCTCCTTCTGGTATCCCTACTATATAGATATTCTTATGTTTCATGTTGTCCTGCATTTCCCTTTGAACTCAATATCTGATAGTTGACTTGCCTCTATTTCATTGAGCATTCTTTCTGAGGATTCCTCCTTTACTTTCATTTGGGGTTTGTTTAGTTGTCTTCCCTTTGTTTGTGAGACTCTTCTTGTTAGCCTCTACTTCTTAAATTGATCTGTTCTGACTCCCTGGGTTTGTGGTGTGAACTTCTATGGTAGAAGACCTGTGAGATTCAGTGGTGCACTCCCCTCGATCTTCTGAACCTGATGCTCTTGTGATGCCGTTTATGTTGGCTCTCTGGTTGTATTTGGATTTTGATTGTCATTAGGTCCTTCTTTGTTAGATTCTTCCCTCCAGCTGGTTGAGTAAGGGTCACTCTGCCCACCACATCTTGTACGCTGTTGTCTCTTTACTTTAAAAGATAATATGTCATTAAATGATTTTTTTCTCTCAGGTGATAAAGTTATCACACTCTTTCTACCACAGTGTGGAGAATGTGTCTCCTGCCTTAATTCCAAGGGCAATTATTGTATGCAAATCAAGTAAGTTTTCTAATATTTTCTTTTTGAAAGATTAATTCAATGTCCTTGGAAGGAATCTAAGCTTTCTAATTCAAAATAAAATTTTTTTGTTTGTTTTTTTTGTTCTATAAAAGACAGTCATTCACTCACCTGATGTCTGACGGTACCAGTAGGTTTACCTGCAAGGGAAAACCAATATACCACTTTGCTAATACAAGCACCTTCTCTGAATACACAGTAATAAGAGAAATCTCAGTTGCCAAGATTGATAAAGTTGCTCCTCTGGAGAAAGTATGCCTAATTAGCTGTGGTTTTTCCACTGGGTATGGTGCTGCAATCAATACTGCCAAGGTGAGAAGCATTTATACCATTTATACATGAAATTCTTTGTATATGTTTTTGAAATTTCTTGTGTATCTGGACCATATCTGATCATACAAGCTAAGGAAGGCTCACAACCCTGCCTTTGAACATCCTTGAATCTAGTCATCCTATACCCTCTTCAAAGTCTTCCCCATTCTCTCTTGGTCAATAGCAAATGAAAAATTATGTTTGAATGCCATTCTCAAGTTGAGACATCATGAATTCCTGGGAGTTAAACATAATACATTTACAAAATGACTGTGTGTCCTTCCACATTTCAGTTCAGTGTAGGGATTCAGCAGCTAACAAAACTTGTTGACCTTCTATTCTGTTGTATAATTAATCAGGTGGTGATTAGTGCTCATAAAAAAAGAGTAACAAGACCAACTGACAAAAAAGGTGGTGATGCTATATAGAACAGACTGATCAAGCAATGCCACTATGACTGAGTGAATTACTGTTATACTTCTATTTTGGAACATCACCTAGTCCTGCCCAGCTCCATTCTTTAATTGCCTGTTGAATCTTAGTTCTTTATCTTTCCCAATTTCTTAGTCCCAATGATACACACAGAGAGAGGATGGAAGGGATTCAATTTAAATCAGTCTCATTTGAGACCAAATAAAAAATAAGCCTTTGTACCAGACAACTGTACTTGAACAACTTAAAAATGTGAAAAAAAATTAAGTTAAATTTTTTAAAAAATAAGCCCTTGCCTTCATAAGATGTTCACAGGAAAAGAGAAAGAAAGAATTGCAGGAAGATGGAGATGGTTTTAAAGAACTCAAAAATATCTGAAATTAAATAAATACTGTGCTAAATAAGTCTTAAGATTCAATGAAAGTTCATTAAACTGCTTCTAACCATGCTAATTCCTGGGTTTAAACTCTCTATTTGCAGTTAACTTTTTGCTCCTCTGGCAAAAAATATCCCATATTTAGAAATACCTTGAGAAACTACAACTTTAGTTGTTTCATTTGAAAATATACTTTGCTTATGTATAAAATGGTGTACACAGAGTTGGTCTTTCCAAACGAGTAAATGTGCATGTTTTCTTTGCTTGTTTTTATGCTTTTATGTGCTCAGGTAACCCCAGGCTCCACATGTGCAGTGTTTGGCCTCGGAGGAGTCGGCCTCTCTGTGATCATGGGCTGTAAGGCAGCTGGAGCAGCCAGGATCATTGGGGTGGACATCAACAAAGGCAAATTTGAGAAGGCAAAGGAATTGGGTGCCACTGAGTGTATCAGCCCAGAGGACTTCAAGAAACCCATCCAAGAAGTTTTAGTTGATATGACAGGTGCTGGTGTGGAATTTTGCTTTGAGGTCATTGGAAATCCAGAAATGCTGGTATGTGATCCTGTGGAGTAAAAATTACCAGTATTTCTACCAATCATCACTGTAGATTTTAACTAAATGAAAATTCTAAAATTTCTTCCACATTCCTTTTTTAATTTTATTGTGCCACTGACATCCCACTTGATACCCTATGTCCACTCCTACAAACCTATTTACCCTAGACACTGAACTCCTTATTAGTTTTCTTTTCCCTTTGTTCCATCATGCTATTCCTTCAAATAAGCAGACAACCTCTAACTGGCAGAACAGAAAGGCTTTATAAAGAATTCTCACTGGATTATTTCATAACAAGAATAAGCTCAGTAATTAATTTCCAGGCCAGAAGATTTAGACAAGATAAGGCCAATATTGGATTAATGATCCTATAAAGCAATGAGCTTTGCACTTTCCACAAAGTCTTTCAGGTTGGATCTGAGAAGTTTCCAAGGAGAATATTTACCATCCCTGATTGAACAGATTCATTTCAAAGATAAAGAAAAAAGTGCTCTAACCACTGTGGCTCATTTTGTTGGGCATCTTCCCACAAAGCAAAAGATTGCAGGTTGGATTCCTGGTCAGGGCATGTGCCTGGATTGTAGGTTCAGCCCCCAGTCAGAGGTAGTGGTGTTTCTCTCCCTCTCTTCCTTCCTCCCTTCCCCTTTCTTTGAACATAAAAAAATAAAATAATTTTTTAAAACTAAATTAAAACTTTAACCAAAATATAAATAAATAATAAAGAAAAAGAGTTGTTGCTTTTCTGGCTAAACATGGTTATATAAGAGAATATAAATGGAGAAGAATTTATTTCACAATTGTAGACTTGCTTTCTTAGGGGATTTGTAGAAACAACGTATTATTGGGTTGCATGGCTCTCTCTTCCAGTCAGCTATATGAGGACTCAAGAACTGAGTCCTCCAGTCTAGGTCCTTTCTTCAGTTTATAAAATCTTTTCATTCCTCACTACACATAAATCTCCTCTTCTGTTAAAAGATATAGGAAAACCTTTCTCATGGTCTTTCCCACAGATGATCTGGTTCTGATAAATAGCTTTCAAAAATAACTAATGGAAACATTAGTTTATTGCTTTGCTAATACATGATGATATACAAATATCCAATTGTACTTGTTGATGTCTAAAAGAAAATGTCAATTGTAACCATCAGCATCAGTAATGGTTCTTATAAAAATTAGTAGCAGTAGTAGTAGCAGTAGTAGTAGTAGTAGTAGTATTACTACCCTGGGTACCTTTAGTATTTTCATTTTTAATTTCTGTCTATTGAATCTAAAATGCCAGGTACTATATATATGTGGCAGTATACAATATCTCATTTATGTTTCTGCATATCCTTATATGAGAAACGTTATTTGAATGAGGGCAGAGTGAACCAGAAAAGGTCACAGCCCATTCAGCAGTCAAGCTGAGATTTAGACTTTGGTCTTTACCTCTGAAGTGCATGTCTTAACCCCTGTGTTGTTTTTCATTGCTTTCCAACAGGCAGCTGCACTGGCCTCCTGCCATGAGAGCCATGGGGTCTGTGTGATTGTTGGGCTCTTGAGGTATGGTGTCCAAATCAACATTGATGGCTTCTTGTTCTTTTCAGGACGTACTTTGAAAGGATCTGTTTTTGGAGGTATGGATGAAGTAGGGAAGAGTGGAAATCTGTGGGGGTTTGGAGGTGGGGTAATAGAGAAATGTATCATAAATGCTTGAGAAGGCACATAAAGCAAGAGCTTTAGACTACAGTTTTTGTTTCAACACATAAATATCCAAGATAAGCGGGTAGATATTTTATGTCTACAGTTGCTTCTTGGTAAGATTTTTTTCATACAAAGGTAGAAAAGAGACTTTTAACAAGTGGTGAAGAAACTGGTGTCCAAAGTTTAATGCAAATTTAAAAATTGAAAAAGAATGGCAAATTTATGATCATAACTATACTTCACTTAGGTTATAGTACCTGCCAGCTGGGGTTCTTTACAGGACAGAAGTATATTGAACCATTAGCAGTCATTCAACAATGTAAACCTCATCTGAAAGAAATGACTTGTCACTATACCAAGTCAAAGATAGTAAACATAATGGATTTGTAATTTTAAAAATACTACTGATAAAAAGGCAAATGAGAATTATTTTTCAAGAGAAAAAATTTATAAAATACTTTGATTTTCTATGTTTTCAATTTGTGTTAGAAATGTTTTTATAGACTTTGGAAGTCTTATATTAAAAGTCTTTTGGGTAGGGCAGGGAGCATGATGAGGGGGAAAGAGACAACTGTACTTGAACAACAATAAAAAAGCGGGAAAAAAAGTGTTTTAAAAAGTTAAATAAATCTGCTTAGGATCCTTGGCTTATAAGCAAGTCATCTGATATTTAACAAGAAATGTATTTAGGCAGAGATTTTAGGCAATCTGAATTCTTGGGCAAAAAAGATGAGAATTTGGAGTTATAAGAATTATTTGAGCTAGTGAGCTAGCTGTGGTCTTCAAATGTAGCTAATTTGAAGACCAGTTAGATACATTTTTACAGGTATAAAGAGCCTCACCCTATTCATTTACAAAAAGCAGGTAGAAGACAGAAAAAAAGTAATAGTTCAGTTTAAACTATAATTTTCACCTCCCCCATTTGGGATAATTTGACATGCCCATTGTTGTTTCCCTCTACTGTGTTTATAGACAGTAACAGCTGGTTCCACATACATATACTTAGCCAACTTTTATAAAATAAGATCACCAATATTCTAAGTAATCCTTATAAAGAAACTATTTTACCCACCACTTAAACATTCTTATAGTGATCATTAAGTTGATTTCTTCCTCTGGTTCAATATTTTCAATTAAGGATAGCATTTAATGGATGTTGAACAGGCCTGCTAAACTTCCTACAATGTACACGATAAAGAATTTTCCCACCCAAAATGCTATTAGTGGTCTTGTTAAGAAACACTGCCTAGCCTAGTCGGTGGTACTGGAGCCTTTCTTTTTAGATTGTTTGGTTAAAATAAGAAACAAAAAACAAGTGAAAGTATTCCTTATGTAGATATGAAAATGCTTTATCAGATGACAAATTGACAAATAAAAACAGTCCTGACTGTTGTGGCTCAGTGAGTTGGGTATCATCTTATGACTGAAAAGTCACTGGTTCAATTCTCAGTCAGGGTACATGTCTGGGTTGCAGGCCAGGTCCCCAGTTGGGGGCATGCAAAAAGCAACCAATCGATGTTTCTCTCCCTCTTTCATCCTCCCTTTCCCTCTCTCTAAAAATAAATAAATAAAATATTTTTAAAAATAAATAAATAAACAAAGACAGTAGATCTTAAAGTATGTCATCACAAGAAAAAAATTATAACTATGTGTTGTGATGAATGTTAACTTAATTTAATAGTAATTATTTTATAATATATACACACATCAAATCATTATATTGTACAATGAAAACTAATACAATGATATCTCTAAACTTAGTTTAACAGTAATTATTTCCCAATATATACATACATCAAATTATTATGTTATACAATTAAGATAATATAATCATATCACAATTTTTGAAAAAAGATAAAAACAAGTAGAAAAATACACTAACCCTTCATGTCTTGACATATAACATGTTAGAATTATTGATAACATATAACAGAAACTAACTTACATGCAAAATATATTCATTGGAATAGTTTTAGGTAATTTTGAGGATAATTGGGAAAACTGAAGAATGTGGCCCAGGCTGATACCAAGAAAAGCAAATTGCCAAGATCCTGTTGCAAAATAAGCTGTTCAGGACACTGTTGCCCCCTTGCACAATTACAGCACACTCACCCTTTCTGTAAACAAGCAGGTCACCAATTCTGTGTGGTGACTCACTGGGTATGTTATAGCACAGTCCTAATGTAAACATAGAAATTCATGAAAATTATGAAAGCAGAAAATACAATGCCAAGCTTCTGTTCACTTGGCTGAGCCCATCCTTCCCTATGCAATTCTTCCTTACAGAAAGCACATTTTTCTCTTATCTTGTTTTGTACACATTCTTTTTTCCAAAAGCTGTTGCTGAGATCACTGCCATGGGGAAAATTCTTCTCTTCCCTTAAGATATTTGGCTCTTTCATGAAACTACAGATCAAACACACACACACACACACACACACACACACACAATGTCCTTCTTCTAAACTTTGAATTGCTTCATTTCATGGTTCCCAAGGCTTTGGCCTTTGTTATATGTTAGATATAGGTTTACAGCTCCCCAGACAGTGCAACCTGACACCAAGAACATCTAACACAAGGTCAACAGTGCACTTGCTCTAAGTAAATCTCTGTAGTAGCAGGGGTCTCAAGACTTTCAGGAGAACAGCCTTCTATACAAGGTATACGGTTGGGACAGGCATTCTCCTGATGACTGAGAGGCTTCCTCAGCCAAAGCCAACACCTCCAGCAGTTAACCTGTATGGCCTTCTTGTAGAGTGACTCTCATGAATAGAATCTGTTGTTAATCTGTTCTGTCTCCAGGCTGGAAAAGCAGAGAGAACATCTCTAAACTGGTTTCCGAATATATGGCAAAGAAGATTAATTTAGATCCACTAATTACTCATAATATGAATCTTGACAAAATCAATGAAGCAGTTGAATTAATGAAAACTGGAAAATGGTAAGTTCCTCCAATAATTTTATGTGTGGGTGGGGTGAAGAGAAAGTGTGTGTGGGAGTCAGGGGTGGCAGGGGAAGGGGACATCATGGCTGGAGAAGCCACATATAGACAACAGAAGAAGGTTTCAGGAATTTGTAAAGCATCTCCTTTCCCTCTTTACTTTATTCCCAGCTTATAGAAAATGTAATCTTGAAAACATTTAAGTGTTCATCTACCCTTACCATTGGTATTTTATTTCCAATTTCACATTTTTATATGATGTATTAACTAGTGATGTTAGCTCATAAAATTTTAGCTCAAGTTTAAGTTCATAGCTTATAAAGAGGTCATTGTTTTGTTCTATTTCATTGTTTAGTTCAATTATCCCTAGAATTCCAAATTCTGACACCTATATTTGGCCCACAAACCGAACACCAGCCATATTGCACACTAGCATTCCCCATAATGGTATAAGCCTGTTTAAATATTCCTTACCCTTGAAGCTTCATGTCATTTTGAAAAAAAATCTCTCAACTGATTTAATCTGCCCATTTTTTCACATAATATGAAGAGAAAGGAGTCTAACTTACTGACTGGCCTACAAAGTAAAAATTTGAAATCCAAAACACAAATGTTGCTTTGGAAATGTTTTAACTTACTTTTTTTCCCCCTTCTTTTTTCTTTTTTCAGTATCCGCTGTGTCCTGATACTTTAAGTGCAATGTAATGAATGTAAGATCTGCAGGATATTTCACCAACTAAATTGCATTCTGCATAATTTCCATGATTTAGAAGAAGTATCACACAATACTGTTGCTATTTTCTTGCTTTTGATGAATTTAGTAGTGGGCTAATATCTGACTTCTGTTCTCACCACCTCATCAAAATCTGCCTCATGTGACCCAATCTCACCCAGGGATACCCTCCCTTTTAGAGCTAGATCAAAGTTAATTTGAATCACTGAATTCCAAACACTTCACACAAGATAGTCACCCCAAAAATACTCACATTTTCATAGTTGTCTCTATCTCTGGGTCCATGTTTCTTTTCACACTATATTTCTCACCCCCATGATGACCTGCTTATTTCACATTAAAGAAACAAAACTCATCATTCATGAGTTTATTGAACATTCAGTTTGAAGCAAGCTGATAGAAGTGGAGGTGGAGTCTTTATTACATCAACTTAAATAAATCCCAGTTAAACACTAAGTATTTCATTCTTAATATTACTCACCCCAGAAAAACTTCAACTGGTATTTCACCTTATATAACCTAGCCTGAAACCACCACTTATAATATCTCTGTGGTACTCACCTCTTCTCTCATAAATTGCCAAAGGAACTTCAAATTGTTCTTTAATTGACCAGGACAATTTAGCTCTCAGCAGTTCATATTACCTGGCTTTATAAACAAGCCCTCTGGAATTCAACAGAAAGAGAAAAGGGCTTGAGGGGAAGTTTTATTCATTGTTAGGATCTATGGTTCCTGGGAGGCAGCTGTGGTTTTAAGCAGTAAAACTGGCTATTATTCCACTCTGCAAGGAAAGAAAGGATAGTTGCATAGTTCAATATGAAGATCTGTCACAGAGTCTTTTCTCCAAGGGGATGAAAGAAAGACAAGATCCAGTAGTGATTTGTGGCATCCAATCCCTCTCTACCCATGCCCCAACCCCTCTGCCTTAATCTCTCTTAATTCTCCTAGAATCTGGGGTGAGATTGAGCCCTTTTGGTATATGGCTTCTTTCCTATCCCCTTGATATAGATAGAATCTCTTTCTAACCCTCTCCCCCAGTACACACACCAGGAGCTCCCTTCCTATTTAAAGTCTCTTCTGCTGCAACTTGGGCTTCCCTACATCTAAAGCCACTGGATCAGACAGGGGTCCCGCAAGGAAAAGAGGATTAACTTAAATTTCAACCAATAATTTCTTTTTGTATCTGATGTGCTGTTTACTGTCAACACTTTGTCCAAACACAGTTGTCCTTAGGGCCTTTCCCCCTCCCACCTACAAATTTAAAAAAATGGCTTATACATTGATTTAATTCAACCTGCTATCTGTATTAGAATCAGAGAAGGGACCTGGGTCCCTGTCAACTGCCACTACTGACTGCCTCCTCTCTGATTTATTATAAAGAGTATTTTGACGAAGACAGAGGGCTCAGGATAGGGTATGCCCTATCAGGGTTGCTCCTGCCAACAAGGATGAAGCACTTTCCTTCTCCATCTTCCCAAGTCTGAGCTGGAATTTCCATGCCCAACCCTGCTCTGCTCTTCTATTCCATGAGGGGAAGCCAGGGTGTGCTCCTACTCTGCCTGTCAAAATAACCTTATTAACAGTGAGGACTTGGAGAAGTCTTCAGGTCCAGGGAGGTCTGAGTTTGCCCAAAAATGTTTTGCTATCAACAGCATCCACACTCCGCTTCAAGAAAGCGTAATTCTTTTTTATCGTTTATTTGTATTGTATTTTTCCATGACCATTTGTCCCCCTTACACCCTTCTCCACCCTCCACCCACTTTAAAGCCCAATTATGTAAGCTTCTTTGAATATCTCTTTGTGTTGCAGCTCATTGCAAAACTCTCTTATCCAATCACAAAGACAAACTTTTTCTCCTTTCTGTTGATACACAGCCAAAAACATTACACAAGTGCCAGTAACTATCCACATCACTGAATACCCACTCATTGTTGTTTCTGGACACATTTAAGTGTCCAGTTCCAGCCACAAACCAAAATCCTTCTTTCCTTCCTGGGCACTGTACTTCCCTGGATAGGCACTCACATGGGTAGTTTATGGTGTCTAGTCCCCAGACCCACAGTGGGAGCCCTGCTGCCAGGGAGAACCACAGTCCACATCTCTTGCCTGCATAATGAAAAACTTTAAGTATTTTCAGATTTCTACCTGCAAACAAGAATAATTATATCTGGGCTATCACCCAAACATTAATAAAACAAGTATGTCCATATAATATAGAAGCCATCTATTTAACACATGATGTACATCCTGATGCATGATTATAGCACTATTCATAGTTAATTTCCCCTGATAATGCACAAGCAATACCATCACCTCCCAACTATTCACTAGAAAGCCTTCATATTGGTGTTGGCCCTAGCTGCTGAAAATGCTTTCATACTCTATACACAAACATATACTTAAATTTCCTATTAAATGTTGTAAGTTAACATTAGCAGTAAAAATTTACATAGACCTATCCTATGATTTCAAAAGAACTTGTATTTCTCCAACTTATTTCACTGTAACACCATTCATATGCCAGATGGCCAGCTATTAGAATGACTGACAGGATCCTAAAGAAATTCGCTAGCTTTTCATTGCCTTCTTGATGAGTTAACTAATCACTTATTCACTCAAGAAACATTTGTTGGGACTTCTAGCCAAGATAGAGGCATAGGTAGATATGTTTTGCTTATTCACACAACCAAAAGAAGGACAACAACCAATTTAAAAATAAAAACAAAGAAGGAGCTCCTACCCTTGGTGACAGCATGGATAGAACTGAAGAGCATTATGCTAAGTGAAGTAAGCCAAGCAGTGAAAGACAAATACTACATAATCTTACCTATAAGTGGGACCTAATCAACAAAACAAACAAGCTAGCAAAATAGAACCAGAGACACTGAAATAAGGAACAAACTGACAGTAACCAGAGGGGAGGGAGATGGAGGATAACAGGGGAAAGAAGGGAAAGGGTCATCAAGGAACATGTATAAAGGACCCATGGACAAAGCCAAAGAGAGGAAGAATTGAGGGTAGAAGGTCAGGGAGCGGGGAGAGTGGTGGAGAGAAAATAGAGAGAGCTGTACTTGAACAACAATAAAAAATAAATAAAATACATAAATAAATAAAAACAAAAAGCAACCAGAACTGCAAAAAAAAAATCAAACTGTATGGAAGTCTGATAACCAATGAGTTAAAGAAAAAAACATTCATCCAGACCAGTAGGAGAAGAAAAGAGGACATATGGCAATGTGGTGGACTGGGTAGGCAAGGTGGCAGCTGGCAGACCAGGGTGATCACATATTCATATTCAGAAAAGCTGAGAGGAACAACTGTGGAGCAAGACACACTGCACAACCCAGGGTTCCAGCGTGGGGAAATAGAGCCTCAAAACCTCTGCCAGCAAAAACCTGTGGGGTTGTGGCAGTGGGAGAGTTCCCAACCGCAAAGGAAAGTTCATTAGAGAAACTCATGGGGTCCTAGAACATACACAAACCCACCCACCTGCTGCAGTACCATAAGGGCCCAATTTGCTTGTGGGTAGTGGGGGAAGTGACTGAAAGTGGGGTGAGACCTGAGCAAGCAGCATTATTCCCTCTCTGACACCACACCACGTACAGTGCCGCAATGCAGTGAAGTGGGTTGCCCCACCCTGGTGAATACCTAAGGCTGTACCCTTTACAACATCACAGGTATGCAGAGACAAAGAAATATTGCCCAAATGAAAGAACAGATCAAAACTTCTTAAAAAGAACTGAGCAATGAGGAGATAGCTAACCTATCAGATGTAGAGTTCAAAACACTAGTAATCAGGATGCTGACAGAAATTATTGAGTTTGGTCTCAAAATAGAGGACGAAGCGAAGGCTATGCAAAATGAGTTAATGAAAAATATACAGGGAGCCAACAGTGAAGGGAAGGAAACTGGAACTCAAATCAATGATTTGGAACAGAAGGAAGAACTAAACAGCTAACCAGAACAGAATGAAGAAACAAGAATTCAAAAAAATGAGGAGAGGCTTAGGAACCTCTAGACAACTTTAAACATTCCAACATCCAAATCTTTGGGGCACCAGAAGGAGAAGAAGAGCAACAAACTGAAAACTTATTTGAACAAATAATTAATAAGAACTTCCCCAATCTGGCAAAGGAAATAGACTTCCAGGAAGTGCAGGAAGCTCAGAGAGTCCCAAGCAAGTTGGACTCAAAGAAGCACACACCAAGGCATACCATAATTAAATTACCCAAGATTAAAGAAAAGGGTAGAATCTTAAAAGCAGCAAGAGAAAAGGAGACAGTTACCTACAAAGGAGTTCCCATAAGACTATCAGCTGATTTCTCAAAAGAAACCTTGTACGCAAGAAGGGGCTGGAAAGAAGTATTCAAAGTGATGAAAGGCAAGGACGTACACCCAAGTTTACTCTATCCAGCAAAGCTATCATTTAGAATGGAAGGGAAAATAAACTGCTTTCCAGATAAGGTCAAGTTAAAGGAGTTCACCAAACCCTTATTATATTAAATGTTAAAGGGACTTATCTAAGGAAAAGAAGATTAAGACTATGAACTGTAAAACAATAACAAATTCACAACAACCAACAACTGAACCCAAAAAAATAAAAACTAAGCAAACAACTAGAATAGGAGCAGAATCACAGAAATGGAGATCACATGGAGGGTTATCAACATGGAAGTGGAGTGGGGAGAATGGGGGAAAATGTAGCATAAATGGAAGGTTTATGGGAATGTACCATTTAAGGGAACAAGAAGCATAAATCGTACATACAAAATAGACAGGAGGAGGTTAAGAATAGTATAGAAAATATAGAAGCCAAAGAACTTATATGTATGACCCATGGACATGAACTAAGGGGGTAGGGGAAAGTGCAGATGGGAGGGGGTTGCAGGGCATAAGGGAATAAAGGGGGGAAATGGGATAAATGTAATAGCATAATCAATAAAATACATTTAAAAAAGAAGAAATACTGCCTGGCTTATTTCGCTTAGCATAATGAAAGACAAATACCATATGATCTCACCTTTAACAGGAACCTAAACAACAAAACAAAGAAACAAGCAAAATATAGCCAAAGACACTGAAATAGAGGACAGGCTGACAGTGACCAGAGGGGAGAGAAGAGGGAATTTCAGGGGAGAATGGGAAGGGTTTACAGGAACAAAGTTAAAGGACACATGGACAAAAACTAGGGGGAGGGTGGTAATGGGAGGGAAGTGGGGAGGGATGGGTGGGCAGGCTGGAATGGGAGTAAAAGGGAGAAAACTGTACTTGAGCAATGATTAAAATAAAATTTAAAAAAAAAAGAAATACTATCCTCAATCAGAGACTTGCTGCAAATTGAATGAAAAATACATGAACAGGCACAACTTGACCCCTGGGGAGGGCCAGCTAGTGCTTTATTTGCATGATGGCTCAGGAAGCATCCTGGGAGTGATAATGACTAGACAAGTTGAGGCCAGTGGATTGATTCCAGGACAAGGAGAAATGATATTTCTTTCTAGTCAAAAGTCAAAAGTGCTCATGACTACTGGTAGAACATGGCACACACAGCTCTTCATCAGGAAATCTTCCAAGCAGTTACTCAACTTTTAAGTGTTTGTCCATGTTTGCCATGAACACCTTCATGACCACAAAGTAAAAGACATTTGTTTTTGTAAAGTGTGCTTTTTCCTGTATCCTAGGTTTTTCCCATGATATTTTGAGAGCTTGAGAACCAGATATAGACCAAGAGATAACACACAAAGCAGGAAGGGAAGACTTGAAGAATGACCTTCTGGCCGTTTTCAAAAGATAAATCATACACAGTAACTTACCTGGTAAAAGATAGATTAAAACCACCCCAACTTACATTCTGAAACAAACATGGGATGTTTGTGTAATTTTTAAAATTAAAATTTTGCATCTTTAAGAGTCTACAACATGCTCTTCTTAACTGATACCTGTAACTCCTAACACATTTCATTAGAGATGTCAACCAGGCTCACCTCCTCAAACAACCACACCAAAATTAAACTAAAGTATAGAACAACCATCATTCAGAACCACCAGAAATCAAACTGAATGGAAATCCTACAACTATGGAATTAAAGAAGAAACCACATCGATACTGGTAGGAAGTATGGAAACATCGAAAGGGCTGGTCCAACATCCATGTGTGGTGGATAAAAATTGAGAGGAATATCTCCAGAGCAAGGGCTTCAGCCCCACACCAGGGCCCCCAGCCCAGGGTTCCAGTGCCAGCAAGATAAATCTCTGTAATTTCTGGCTGTAAAAACCAGTGGGGATTGAGGCTGCAAAGGACAGAAACTGCTGGAATCCCAGGTAGTTCCTCTTAAAGGCTCATGTACAGACTTACTTGGACTCGCTCTCCCTGAACTCCAGTGCTGGGGCAGCAGATCAAAAGGCATCAGAGACATATAGGGAGGAAGTGAATTGTCTGGCATCAGGGCAAGAGCTGGAGGGCAGCTTTATCCCAGAGAGAAGTGCTAACAGAAGCCATTGTTTCTTTTCTGAGTCCTGCCCCAACATAGACAGCAGACAGGTGCCGTATATGAGACACCATTAACCTGGCCAACACTGTTTGCCCCACCCTGGTGATTCCCTGAGCTCCTGCCCCACCCAACTTTCAGGCCCACCCAAGCTATTTCCAGTGGCTTTTCCATATGAATGGCTTCTCTTGGCTCATGCTTCATGTGTTCCTAAATTCTCTCAAACAAGCAGCATCAGGTTTAGTGAGCCCTATGCCTTTCTCTAAGTTGCCCCTGGCCCAGCACTAGCAGCAGCCACGGCACCTTGATTCACAGCTTAGCATCCCCTGGGCACTTCCAAGCCCAGCACAAGTAGAGGCCATCTACAGATCACTATGTAGTTAATGCTGTATGACCCCAGAAAGAACACAGTGGCTGACCGTGGCCATGCTGACAGCAATCAACACTCACTTACAAGAGGAGGGTGTACACAGCTCACACTGTGCGCACACCTTGAGTACCCAGCTGGGGTAATCAATAGGGGAGCTTGTGCCACTGGGTCCTACAGTACACCTACTATATTAAGCCACTCTATGAAGCCTGGGGGATGTAGTACCTCTACCTAATATGCAGAAACAAACAAAGGGAGGCTGCCAAAATTAGGAGGCAAAGGAAAAAGGGTGAAATGAAAGAGCAAAACAGAACTCCAGAGAAAGAACTAAACAAAATAGAGAAAAGCAATCTA